TTTTTGTTTTAAATGTGCAAGTGTTAACCTTTGAATAGTTAAATCGATGCTATTTTATTATACTCTTTTGCCTAGTTCAAAGCTGATATTATTCACAGTCTATCCAAGTAAAACCTTCCAATAAAAGTCTTATGAGAGTTCACTAAATGTTTAATATAATCTTCTATTAGTTATTATTCAGCTAATTTCTTCACTTTCATAATGGCAGGCATTGTTGTATAGATGAGTGGGTGGAAAGATAGCTGCAGTATTGATTTTAGAAGTCTTGATTTGGAGATGATAGATTCATGTCATTTTTATTTTTCTTGAATAACTGTAGCAGTGCTGTGTAAAATGTAAGCCCAGATCTGCTTTTTATCCTCCATAGTGTCTGTTTTCCAGTCCTGCTTTCCTGCTTTGTTGAGTGTTAGATGGGCTTTCCTCCTGCCTGTTAGTGGAACTGCTCCCATTCTTGGAGAAAACTCTTACTTAATTTAAATAAATTCTAGTAGACTCAACCAAATTTGTTTCTTACCAGGCCATTGTCGGTATCTTCAGAGAACAAACCAAAAGTTTTGTTTTGCTGATTTTAGATGACTGTCATTTCTTTTTTCAGTAGGAGAGTTCTCAGCCCTTCATTCGATGATTTATCCTTTGGACTAATGTATGTTTAGTTTGCTGAAGGATAAAAATGAAAAGCTCTGTCTTTGCATGAAGGCCATTTAATTAATGGTGGAGACTTTACAACCTACTTGAGGAAGGCTGTGTGCCATGATCTCTGAAGGAAGCTGTTAGCCTCTTAAGCCAAGTCCTGCTTCATATGTGACAGATCATCAAGCTATTAGGTTATATCTGCTCTTCTGGTTTTATTCATACCATAGAAGAACTCTGAGGCAAAACATCTGAGTAATTTGGATGCCTGGGATCCTTTAGACTCATATCTTTCTGGATGTAGGCTTGGAAAGAGGACAGAAATGGGAATAACGATGTTTAAGAGCAAACAAAGATCTGTACAAGAATCAAGTGAGTCCTGCAGTATCCAGAAGGCCCAACTCGGGCAAACAGATGGGCCAGAAAGGACTGCAATTACCAACATTGGACCATATTCTCTTTCATTTCCCTTTACTACCACAACACCATCTCCTATCTTCCACTTCTCATGTCTGCTTCCTTCTGTGTTCTACCAACCTGTACCAAGCCCTAATGCCATCTGCCTTGGACGTTATTGAGCGCTTACAACTGAAATGGATGTCAGTGATGTTGCAGGTGTTTTGCCATTGATGTAGTAAGAGACTGAGTCTGGAGTTCTGAGTGCATTGCTATTTTGTTTAAATGTTTCCCATAGGGAAAATTAGATCAATATTAGTTCAGCTATGGTGTAGAATTGCTTGTCTATCCATAAGAGTTAGTAAGTAAAGGTCTTTTCAGAGTTTGAGAGTTTTATTCTATGAAAATTTAAAATTGGGCTACAGTTGCCAAATTAGGCATGAGCACCTACCACTGGTAGAAACTGTTAAAAATGCTGCCTTTCAGATCACTTTATTTGTGAAATTTTGATGATGCCTTTTCTCACAGAAATAGTGGAAGTAGTTTATATTTCTTACTATTTGTAATTGTCATTCAGGAAAAACTATGAGTTGCATAGTCTGTATAGACTTAACAATAGATTTAAGAAAGATGGAGGCCAATATTTTGAATGGAGAATATAAAAGACATGGTTTTTAGTTAGAAAAGCTTCTTTGAGGAATATCTGGTGTATACTTACAACATTTCCCCCTTAATTTACTGCTGTAATTATGCTTCATTGTAATTTTAAATCTACGTTATCTCTGAGAATTATCTTTCTAGTTGTTATTATGATATCCAAAGATACAGAATTTAACATGCAAGCATGACACTGACCCAGGAGTTCATATCTTTTTGAGTTCATATGGATTCATTCTTAAATGTAAATCCAACATATATTAGATACTAGAAGAAAATTTTAAGTGGAGAGTCTTTCACCAAACTCTACCAGTGTGTCCATTCCATTGCCAGATCAATGCAGTGGATGGGAGCAATCAATGATCCCTGACTGAGTTCCTCTGAATTTTTTTAACATTTCAAGGAAATAATGTTTTTAAAGCATGTCTGCCTTTCCTCTCAAAACCATCAGTTTAAGAGTGATCAAATACAGCTGAAATGTACAGCTAGAATGTTACTGTTTAGCTGTTAACACGATAACTCAGTGTCTAAAAGGGTACAGAGAGTTTCATTTTGACTTGGTTGATTGGATATATTTTTCCAAGCATCCATCAAAGTGGGTTGAAAAGCATGCTGTTATTTCCTGCATAGCTTGTGTCTGGAGGAATGATGACTTGTGTTACAAATTTTCTTCCTGCTTGTACATGTTGGGCTTATTTTAGTTGGAAAATTGTGTTGGATTATAATGTTAGCTCAAAGACTTGTGAAAACAACTAATGTTGAACCTGACTCAACAAGCAGCTTAGACGAGGGTGAATGCTGTTGCTATATTGCCTGCACAGAGTAAAATGTTACACAGACCTCACAGGGGCTGTCTGAGACAAGCAGGTCCAGTACTAAACGTGATAGTCTTCATGTTGCCCACTGATGATAACTTTATTTTACTGGTTTAATATGCTTTTCTGAAAGACGGGATAGGCAGTGTTCTTGTTCTTTCGAATGAATGACAGTATTCCTTCAAACTAAATTTCAAAACTGTCCTTAAAAGTTGTTTGTTTTACTTGTGGCTTTGTTTAACTCTATTCCTCAGCCGTGGCAATGAATAATATTTCCTGTTCAGTAAGCAAGAGACTGTAAAAATAATTTTATCCCTTACGGTTTCTCTTAAGCTTTTTTTAGAAATCCATGTTTCAGTAATCTTAGTGATTGAGACATGACATAGGAGAAATATGGAAATACTATTTTCTGACCAAACAAACTAGCTGAAATGTGATGAATGCAAAGTTCACAGTGTATATGAGCGTGGTCACAATCTCCTGTGTGTTATAGAACAGCAATGTCTCTTCCTGATTTTTCTCTTTTCTTTGATGGGGATAATAGACACAGGTTTTATTCCTTTTTAGAACTTAGGATACTGTCTTTGAACAGGATGCAAATAATGGATTCTAAATACCAGTGGCTAACATACTGAAGTACCCTATTAGAGTTAAGGCAAGAGATGCAAATATATAATCATAAAATCTATACTTGGGCATAACAAAAGCATAGCTTAAAATATGTGCCAATATTTAGTAATCAGTCCAGTCTTTGGCCTTCCAGTTTGAGTGGTGTTCTTGTGTATGATGATGAGCACACTGTCAGGAGACAGGGATCCTTGTTTTGTACAATTTCAGTGTAGGTACTGAGGTGTGTGATTCATCACCACCCATTCTGTTCCAGTGAGGTTTAGCTGAGATGAGAGAGACTGCTTACCTGGTGTTTGTCCCTTTTACGCTTCATTTGCTCATTTTCTTTGTGTAAGCAGAAAAATAGGGTACAAGGTAAGGAAAGCATTTCAGAAAGATTATAATAGAGGAAGCTCAGTTCCACAATAGAAATGTAATATTTTTTTAGCCCATCTGCTCTTAAGTTATTTTAAACAAGTCAGATAATGCTTCAGGTAACAAACGAGTCTAGAGAAAGTTCTGTGCCTTGGGTTAGCTTTGCTGTCAAGAATGAAAAAGCCTGTAACAATTTTGGAGCAGAAGTGTTTTTGCTCATGGATTAAAAAATGATAGTTTATGTATTTTGTGACTAAAAAAGTCTATGAGAATTATTTACTGAATTTCCTATTGCAGCTGCTAACCTTTTGTCCTTGTAAATAATATTGCACTTGGAGAGTAGGAATGAAATCAAGTTGCCTAAACGTTGTGTGATTTTTAGGCACTGTGACTAGTTCTGTCCAGTGTCCCTGTGCTGCTCCACAGTGGGTACAATTCTCCCCGTAGGCTTGCCTGTCATCTGCCTGCTCAGCGTCTATCTCTGGGGTTGCCTGGGACAGCAGATGGGACTGTGCTCCCTGGCCTAGGTGCTTGAATCTACCCTGAATGAGACTGATGCTGATTTCTGTCATTGTACAAGCAGTGATGTATGTGAAGGTATTTTGTTTCAACCTGTCATTGGATTTCAGGCGAGCTAACACTATGGGTCTTAGCTTCTTTCTCAGTTCCTCTGTGAATTTAAACCTATTATCTTTTAGTTGCATTTCAGCTGTCCTAATTTTACACAGCTGGCCTGAGAGGCAAAACAGTCTTGTTTAGATCATGTATTTTCTGCTCCAAGATACAGTTGTTGCATAGCATTTTTGTTCTATCTGGTACAGTGCCATCATGAACAGGGGCATGTGTAGAGAGGGTTTATAGAATCAGAGCCATCCTCACATGTCATGGAAATATGAAAAAGAAGTTACAGTGGGAGAAGGTGACAGGCTTTCATATCTCTCTTTTCCTGGAGGTAGTTGAGTGACTGGAAAGTCATGGAGCAGTAGGTATTAGTTGAGTCCCTACATGGCGATGGTGCTAAGAAAGAGAGGACCAAGTGGAAAACAGAGCAGGTTGGTGCAGTGGGAGATGTGTGTGATCTCTTCTCCTAGGCCTTCTGTTCTGCTGCTGCTCTCAAGGGTCTGCCCTACCTGGAATCAGAAGCAACCTAGTAGTTCATTATGACATGTATGATCACTGTATCATTCTAAAGTTACTCTAAATTTTGTTACTAATTCCAGAATCATCCTTTTTGAAACAACAGATACATTACTGTATTTCACGCAGCAAATTAGTTTCTCCAAATTAGTAGAAAAGATTAGACTTTCAAACATACCAGGGTATCTGGAGTACAAAATTACCCAGTCATTGAAGAATCAAAAGCCATGCACCAAAAACATTGCATGTAAACCATCACTTTGATAATGTTGTTCTGTAACAGTGCTTTCTGATCCACTTTCTTCTAGTCATATAAATAACATTGATTATAAAGTGATACTTCAGTAAAAAAATAACTTTTAATCTGTGTTTTTCTTTCAGGGCAATTAAAGCATTTCAGGAGGCGCTTTATGTTGATCCCAGCTTTTGTCGAGCCAAGGAAATTCATTTGCGACTTGGGCTTATGTTCAAAGTCAACACAGACTATGAGTCTAGTTTAAAGGTAGGTTTAAGTTAATTCAAATTGAATTAATATTTATTACAAGTTGTGTTGCATCTTAAAGCTGCAAGGAATGCATAAGTGTATAGCAGTTAAATACTGCCTGCTTTAGAAATAGAAGAGCTTCAGTATGAAATATCTTAGTCTAAAAAGAGAGTAAGGGTAGGATCTGAGGTGTGTTTGATGTTAGAAATACTCAGAAAATCCCAGCAAAATTATAGATCACCACTGATACTCCAAAAATTTCGTGTAGGGCTCTTGTGAAAATAATACATTTTGTGGGGAGGCTGAGGACATACAGAAAATTGGAGGAAGAAGAAAAGAAGAATTGACAGCTTGGATTTCTTTATATTCTCCCCTGCCCTGCCCTGCCCCCCCCCCCCC